GAGGCTCTGAGTGTCACAGGTCCTCCAGGTGCTGTCTTAGTCCTGCCCACACCTCAGTCCGGAGCTTCTCCCTCAAAGGCTCTCCCTTTGAACCACTGGGCTGAAGTCTGTATCAGGACTCCGGACGGATCCAGAGGTTTCTGGACAAACAGAAACACCTCCATATTAAATAGTCATTGATGATCAGGGGCCCCCGGCTTTCAGAGAGATTAAAACGCCATCAAAGCGTATGGCTTACTATGCAAAAAGGACGGCAGGTTCACTCAGGTGTGGTGGGTAGAGGACTGTTGATGGTTAAGGGTTTGCTTCTAACCTGCCCAGGCTGGGAGCAGGGGCAGCCTGCATGCAAAGTCAGGTGAGCTGGGTCTGAGTTCAGGCTCTGACACCCACAGGCTGGGGGACCTTGAGAAGGCTGCCTTGCCACTCTGTTTGCTCGGCCTCCTCTTTGGCAATCCAGAGTCACCCCAACCGACCAGGGTGTTGTGAGGACAAGCAAGGCCACAGTTGTGGAAGGGCTTCATGAATTATCCAGCCCTCGGATGTGTGGGCCAGGGCAGTCCCAGGGAGGAGGCCATTCTGGGGTTCTAGTCAGGAGCCACACATTGGGCTGGCGGGACAAAGGGGGAAGCTGGCAAATGCAGGCACGGAGGCCCCAGAGATCCAGAGACAAAAATGAGAAGACACGGTGCCTGCCCCTCACCCCTTCCCGCCCTTGATGTGAGCTTTCCTTAGGCTGAGTGACTGACAGGTGCAAGACTGTTTATTCAGCAGAGAATTAGGTGCATGACAAAGCCACGGACCAACCGGGTGAAGTCCATGCTTGCTGGAGACCAGTAAGAGAAACAGAGGCTGCCAGGGGGAGGCAGGTCCTGCAATGTCATGGAGGCCCAGCGGCTCTTCCAACAGGGTCACTAGCCCACTCATCTATTCTCCAGGGCAAATGCCTTCACCTCACTTTCTTGATCTTTGACCAGGAATAACACTCCCCTCAAAGGTTTGCTGGCAGGAGCCAGTCCCTGCAGTGTTCAGCCTGGTGCCTCTTGGTAGGCTCTCAGGGAAGGCTGGCCTCTGCTCCTCTTAGTTTATGTTATTCCGGGGAGCCAGGGGACCCCTTCGCACTGGGGCGATCCCGCCCTGATCCCCCACAGAGGGAAGCTGGACTCGAGGTCTGGAAGACACCTCTGGGCCAGGCCAGCGCCGCTCAGCCCCCGCAGCACCGGGACTCAGCTCCTGCGTCCGGCCCTCGGAGGCCTGCAAGGCGAGGGCAGGCTGCAGGAGGCAGCACGAGGTCTGGAGCAGGGGAAGGCCAGGATCAAAGCGCTCCGAGGCAGGCCGGGGCGCAGCCAAGGGAGGCTGGCGACTTGCATCAGCACAGATTCCGTGATGCTCTGCAGACTTCTCGGGGCGGCCGGGCTTTACGGGAACCCACAAGAAAGGAAAGGGCCGGGGACGGCAGGGCGGGGGCGACGAGGGCGCGCCGGTGCGCTCTCCCGCCCGCGCGCTCCCGGCGGCGCCGGCCCGGCTTGGGCGCGCCCGAGGCCGCTCCCGCTGCCTTTCCCCTCCTCCTCTCCCCCGCGTTACTGGAAGGAAGGGCTGTGTGTGTGGGAGAGACCCAGAAGCACCCGGATTTTGGAGTGCGGGGCCGGGGAGGGCCGGGCGGCCTCTGCAGGTCAAAAGAAAACGAGAAGTGCATCTGGTTCGCGCCTCTTGGCCAGGCGGCTGCTCTCTGGGGAGCCCTGGACGCCGGGATTGCGCCTCCCTTTGCCGACCCGCTCCCCCTTCCTCCCCTCTGACTTCGCAGCGGCTGCCCGGGCCCGCGAGGCGCGGGCGGGAAAGGGCAGAGAGAGAGAGGGAGGGGAGGAATGAGAAAGTGTCACGATTTCTTCGGCAGCGCCCTCCCACACGGTCCCACCCCCGGTTTTCTGGGTTCTGCCGCTGCCGCTGGGGAGAGGGTTGATTGGTTTTGCGTCAAAGGACTGCATTTACTCAGTCCTGCTGCGAGAGGCACGTAAACAGCCTGGCAGGCGGCGCTCAGGGATTTGAAGACACACACACCTACCCCCCCCCCAAACCCCGCGGCCAACGCGCGCCCCACGCCCCCCGCGCCCCGCCACCGAGCGGGGGACCCCGCCCCGGCAGTCACGGGGAAATCGGGGAGTCTGGCTCGCCTCGCCTCTCCTCGCCTCCCCGCGCGCGTCCTTGGGGATGGCGCTCGGGACAGAATGTGTTTTATAACTGTAAACAATGACCCCGACTATTGTTTGGGATTACCGTATCTCGGGGCCATTGGGGCGGCCAGATGCCGCCAGCCGTCCCGGAAACGCCAGCGCTTTATATAGAGAGCCCCCGGGAGGGCTCTGAGTTCCCGGCTCTATTTTCTTTCCTAGCAACACCCCCACTTTACAGATAAGGAAACTGAGGGGCCGGAACCGTGATGTGTTCCAGGACACGACGCGTCACCGTCCCCGCGCACCTCCCCGTGGGGTCCTCGCAGGGATCTGTGGGGGTGAAAGTGGCGCCCCTGGAGAGCTGGGTAAACTGAGGCTAAAGCAGAGCCTGGACCAGCCAGACCCGAGCCCCTGGACTCCTGGCACAGTGCTCCTCCGGCTCACCCCTGCAGGAAGGTTTAGGTTCCAGCGTGGACAGGGGCCTTAGAAGGACACCTGTCTCAAGCCCTTCATTTTATAGGGAGAAACTGAGGCCCAGAGGTCTCAAGGGGCTCTCCTGAAGCCAGTCCCACAGCTCCCAGACAGCACAGCCCGGCTCCGGGGCTCCGAGGCCTGTGCCCTTTACCCCGAACCTCGCCCCGCCCGGCCCGACGAGGTGGGAAGACATAGGAGTCCGACTACTTTGCTCCTTGAACTTCGCTCCAAAACAGCTGCAGACAGTGCTCGCCCATACCTCCAGGCCCCTTCCCTGTTTGTCACTGTTGTTGGTGTGTGTGTGTGTGTGTGTGTGAGAGAGAGAGAGAGAGAGAGAGAGAGAGAGAGAGAGAGAGAGAGTATGTGTGTGTGTGTGTGTGTGTGTGTGTATGTGTGTGTGTGTGAAGGTGTGTATGTCAGTGTGTGTGTGTGTGTCTGTGTGTGAGAGAGAGAGAGAGTATGTGTGTGTGTGTGTGTGTGTGTGTATGTGTGTGTGTGTGAAGGTGTGTATGTCAGTGTGTGTGTGTGTGTGTGTGTGTGTGTGTGAGAGAGAGAGAGAGAGAATGTGTGTGTGTGTATGTGAGTGGGTGTGTGTGAAGGTGTGTATGTCAGTGTGTGTGTGTGTGTGTGTGCTTTAATTTCTAACAGCCTGGAGTTTGCTTTTAATGCCCGATTGCCCCTATTAGTTGCGTTCCAACTGCCCTGGCTTAGAGGGCGGTCGGGATGTCTTGAACTTGATTAATTTCGTCTTCCAGGCGACTCCTATGAAATTAATTGGAGAAAGAGAGAGAGAGATGGGGGGCTGAGGCAGCAGGGTACAGCCGGCCACCGAAGGGAAAATTAGGCAAACAGGCCGGCCCCGCCCGGCGGCGCCGCGCCCTGCCCAGCCCGGCCGCAGGGCGGCGCGGTGCCCGGGTGCCCGGGGCGCCGCAGAGGGCGCCGGCGACCACGCGCGACCGCGCCCTTCCCGCGAGCTGCTCTCCGCGCCCGGCGCTCGGCCCGGCGTTGGCGCCGCACGGAGCCGCCTGTCTCGCCCTCCAGGACTGTGATTATTCTCCCAAACCCGGCGCCGAGGCCCAGAGAACTTGGGGGTGGAGGGGGGACTGGCGGAGCTCTCCGGAGCCCGAGAGGGAATCCCTGTCCCTACACGTCACCCGAAAGCGAGGGAACCCGCACTCGCGTCCTCTAACGCAAATGACCATCTTTGGCAACCTGCGCCAATGGAACAGACCAAGGGCGCCGAGCCGGGGAGGGGTGTGCGGGGGCGCGCTGGGGCCGCTGCGGCTCCCCCAAACCGCGGGGGCCGGCCGCTCGCACCCCCGCCACCACCTTCCTTCCCCGCGCGGGGCGAGCTGCTGGCGTCAGCGCCGCCAGGAGGACGGGCGGGCGGGGAGGGGAGCGCAGCGCCCGCCCCCTCGCGCGCCTCCTCCTCCTCCTCCCCCTCCTCCCGGGCCTCCTGCCCCCGCCTCCCCGCGCGCTCCTCCCAGCGAGGTTGACGTGAGTGAATCCACATGGTACAGGGGCTGGAGAATAAAGACTGTGGAGTTGAACTCGTGCCATTGTAGTGACTCATCTCGGGCAGAGCACAGGGGCTCCGAGCGAGCGAACCGGCGAGCGAGCGAGCGGCGCTCGGCGGGGACCGCGGGGGAGAGAGAGACGCGGCGGGCGCAGCGGGCCGGGCCGGGAGCGGGCGCCCGGGAAGGGGTGCGGGTCCAGCCGCCCGAGCCGCGGCGGTGCCGGGAGCGGGGCGCGTCCCTCTCCGCTGGGATCCCATCGGCTACGACGGGACGGGGCGCAGGCTGGGCTGCCTTCTCCGAACCCAGTGTCCGAGCCGCTCCGAAACTCCGGCGGCGGCGGCGCGTTGGCCACAGGAAGTTTATTTTCAGTGTCTTTTCTAAAAAAGGAGGAAACAGAAGTTTCTCCTCCGAGCGGGCAGCCTTCCTGGTCGCCTGATTTTGGCCCTGCCCGACATCGGGGGCCCGCAGACCGGGCTCCCATTCTTTTCTCATTGCCCATTTTTGATAGAACCGGCGGCGGCGGCGGTCCGGGCTCCAGCTGCGCGCGGGGGCGGGAGGGCGCGCGCAGGGGAGGGACCGAGGGACGCGCCGACTTCTTAGAGGGAGGGACCGGTCCCGGCGCCGGTCGAGCAGGAAAGAAGTGCCGCGCTCGGCGCTCAGGGGCCACTGTTCCCGGGTTCGTGCCGCCGCCGCCGCGGGGGAGCACCGGGGAGCGGAGACTTCAGCCCGGGCGCAGCCCGCAGGGAGCGAGCGCGCAGCAGCCGGAGCGCCGCCGCCGCCGCCGCGGCCAGGGCGGGGAAAGGAAAACACGCTGTTTCCTCTGGGGCCCCCACCGCGGATCATGTACCAGGATTATCCCGGGAACTTTGACACCTCGTCCCGGGGCAGCAGCGGCTCTCCTGCGCACGCCGAGTCCTACTCCAGCGGCGGCGGCAGCCAGCAGGTAGGTGCGGGGCGCTGGGGTGCACCTGGCGGCGCGGGCGGGCGGGCGGACCCCATGCCCTCCGCTCGCCGCCGCCTCTGCCTCTTTGGCTTTTCTTTTCTCTCCCTGTTTTGGCTTGGCGAGAAATGTTCTGTGGGCCACCACTGTGAGTGCTGGCTTTTCGTCCGGTCCTGCCCATCCCCATCACTTTTCTCTTTAAAAAACAAAACAATAAAAAAAAAACTAAAAAACTGGCGCGAGGAATGGGTTTGGAAGCCGGCAAACCTTTTCCTTCACGCTACATCCTACCCGGACAGCACTAAGCCTGTTTCCTACTCCTTACTTCCTCTCCCGGGAATCCTGCACCCCCTCTCCCTCTTTCTCCTTGGCAGACAAAAAACCGAAACAAACAAACAAACAAAACACCTTTGTACCCTCCCCTGCTCCTGCAGGAGCACCTCTCCCTCCCTGCCCCACCAGCCTTAGTGAATTTCTCAAAGACAGTGAGTGGGCTCCTTCTAGTCACCGGGAAGGAGGGAGGGGGAGGCTCTGGGAATCAGGTGCGAAGGTCTGGAAGGAGGAGGTGAGCCTGGGTTGGCTCTGGGTGGCCCCTGTGCGCCCCGCGCCCACCCCTCTCCGGTTAGGATCAGAGCAGGAGAAACCGCACCTCTGTCAGGAGGGGTACCCCGCCTTGAAGGTCCGGAGGCACCTGGGACAAGAACGCCTACGGAGAGAAGTGGGGGAAAAGGCTCCTGGGTGGTTCTGGAAGCAGGAAAACAACTTGCTTCTAAAGCAGCCGGACTGGTTTGCACTGGAGGGATTCTGCGTGTGATCTATGTGCCCATAAATACCAGAAAGGTGCTGGTGGGGTGGTGGTGCTGGTGCGGTGCCTGCGGCAGCCCTCCCCCACACCCCCCACCCCACACCCCCAGACTTGTGAGGGAGCTGGCTTAAAAGGCCACTACAACCTGGAGCTGCTGGTCAGGATCTAGCCAAGCTGACTGCACCAAGAGTTGCTCTGGGAAGGCGCAGTGGCCTTGGCTTCTAGAAGCCCCAGCCAGGGGGACCCTGCTGGAGTAGAAAATGGAAACACGGTTCCCTTGGGGATCTGAATCGCCTTGCCCCAAAGTGGCTCCCCATCCCTGGTGAGTCCCCACCATGGCTTTTCCGTGTCTTCCCTTTACCCCCCTGGCGTCCCCCTTAGTCCCCCCTGTAGAGAGCTTGGTCTGTGCGTGGAGGGTGCAGTCAGTGCGCCCTTTGTGATGGGCACCAAGGGGATGAGTTTAAACCCTTATCGCAGACGTGTTTGATGTTGTTTGCTTTCTAGCCCCGCTAGTGGTTTGTATGGAATCCAAACATCCTTAGGCAAGGGGCTGGGGGTCAGGTATGCCCACTCCCCCCCAACAGATGCCCAAACATCCCTCTCCTCCCCGAATTGGGAAGAGGGGGGGGGGGCTCTTTTGATTTCTTGCCTGTTGGTTGGCTGCTGTTGCTGTGGCGGTCCTCATTGAAATAATAACAATCTTGCCGCCTGGCCCCGCTCAGCCCCTGGGGCCTGCATGGGAAGTCAGACCGGACACCAGCGCCCCGATTGAATAATCTGTGTCACTAGGGCTTTGAGCCCAGGATGTGAGCGGAGGCAATTCCCTGTTTTGGAAGAAAATCAGACAGGAAACCGGTGCTAGGAAGAAGGAAGAGAGCTCGGTCCAGCGGAGTGTAATGGGGCCTCATTACCGAAGCAAAAAAGCAGCTGTTGGCTAATTCCTAGCATGCTGTAACACATGAGGGTTTTGCAATTAGTAATAACTAGTGCACGGGGTTCTTGACTATACGCCTGCCCTTGGCCCAGCAGCTTGAGCGAGGCGCCTTCAAAGCAGAGGGATTGGCAGGGGAATGCTGCTTTAGACAAGTTTCTCAGTCTGTCCACTCCTGGCTTGGGGGGGGGGGGGGCGCTAGGGGGTTAGGGGTTGGATTGGGGGGGTGGTCCATCACCTCTCCGCCTTGGAGCAAATCTGTTCTATGGTCCTAAGAACTGACTTTGGAAGGCTTTTGTTCCTGAACAAGTCAGCACCACGACCCCACCCAATCTCCAGGTAACTTTATTGCACCCCAGATAAACCCTGTAATCACTTTATTTCTCTCAGCTTCCCTTCCGGGGAGACTGCCGGCAGTTAGCGATGGGCCGTCCTCCTCTGTGGCGTCTCAGTGGACCAATGCCTGTAAACCACTGTTCTCTGGTTTTCCCCTGGGCAAGTGAACATTCTTTTTTTCCTGATCTCTCTGTTTGGGGGGCGCTCATATGGCTGCTGTTTACTCCACCCAGAACTTTCCTCTCCTCTCGAGCTTCCTAAAGCACAGGTCAGAGTCGTGTGTGTGTGTGTGTGTGTGTGTGTGTGTGTGTGTCCCGGCTGCAGGGCGAGGGGGGAGGATGGGGGTACGGGGAGAGAGGAGACAACTTTTTTGTCAAAACCTCTGTTCTTGTGTATGGCAGGAACTCGAAGCATGAGAAATATTTCCTGTCCCAGTTATAGTTTGAATCTCTGAGGTCGGTCATTGGTGATTTTTGTTCTGTCGGTGATCATGGCACACATCTCCCCTTCCTGGCTTTTTCTTTGTGTTGTTGTGTGTGGTTTTGTGTTTTTTTTTTTTCCCCTCTCTCTCTCTCTCCCTCTCCTCTCCTGACTTTCCTAGGAAAACACCTCCCAGATAAATGCCCTGCCTGGCTGCTCCACTATTACGGTTTCAGGCCCTGAGCATTACGCAATCCCGCCGGTTACACAAACACAGGTCATTTCATAACTTGTTTTCATCAGCTGGGTCCCCTTTTAATGAAAAAAATAAAAATAAAACCAAAACAAAAACAAGACCCAGACCTTTCCCAAGGCTGCCGTGTGTCTGCTCCGTAGATAACTTGTGAAAATAAATCAAGGTGGGGGGTGGGGGGGGACAGTTCTTTTTTGGAATCAAGGAATCCCAGACTACCTCTCGTCTGCAGCAACCACCCTTTCCCAGGAGACAGACACACACACAAAATTTCCCGGAGTGAACTGTTGCCAACTGTACCAGGCTGGGACATTCCTCACATCAAAGAACTTTTACCAGAAATGACTGTGATTCCCAAGTCAGCCCTAACCGTGCCTCTCTGGCGCCCCCTAAGGGACAGTCTTAGAAGAGCCGTCTGGGGAGTGTATTTTTCCAGCTCCCGAGCGTTAACTGGGTGAGTTTTTGAAATTCTTAGCACTTTTTTTTTTTCCTTTTTAGTTCAGGACAAACAAATGGCACACACTTAACAGCAGTTAACTCGGAACTGCTTGACGTTGAGATGCAGTTTAAAAAAAATTTTTTTTTTCTTTTCTAAATAAAACCTGGTTGAAAGGGAGTGCCTTTCCCCCCCATTCTAATGTCTGTCTGTCCAGGAGAGAGCCCGCACAATGGCTTCCAATTCCGCAGGCTTGTTTCCTGGATGTGCTGTGTTAGGAGACCGGGCATTGTTTTGGTGGGGGATGGTCTTCAGGGTTTCGGGGAAAGAGGGAGGTATATATATGAAGGTCTCCTGCCTTGCTTTTTTTTTTTTTTTTTTTCTTGGCCTTGATCTTACAGACGTCATAGGTTAGGATCAAACACAGTGTTGCCCCAGGAATTGGTCTGTTCCGCTGATTCTTGGTGGTGGAAGTCAGCGTCCCTTTCTCATCAAAGTGAGCGGGGTGCAGCGGCAGTCATGTATGGTCTGAGGGGCTGCTGAGTGCTTCTTTCCCGCCCGCTGCGTGCATTTCCATTCCCGTACTTCTGCCTGCCTTAGTTTTCAAGGTGAGGGTAGAGTTAGGAGCCTCTCGGTGTCTGCTCTTTTCCATCGTAAAACAGGCACGCCAGGGCGTACACGACCAAATCACGGTTGTCCCTTCCGGATTGCTCCCGGAGGAGACTCACACGCACAGGTGAATGCTGGGGCTTAGTCAGACTCAGAGAGGTCTCACAACACCCCTCTTTTGGCATGGCCCTCAGCAAGTTCTTTTGAAAAATCCTTCCTGCTAACAAGTCTTTGTCCTTGGAGGTAAGTTTCCTATTTGGAAATTACCAAGAGACGTGACATGTCAGGGAATCACAGCTGACGGGCCAGGGCTGGGGGGTCCGGTTGGGTCCTCAGTCCATAGCAGAGCGTGACTCCAAGTCCGTTGGTCTCAGGCCTGGAGTTCGCCTGGGAAAACGGTGGCCAGGACAGGACACCCCACGCAGGCACCTTTGTCCTCTGTACCTTAGGGGGCATTTTCCTCTCCGTTAAACAGAAATGAAAAGACTGGCTTTGAGGATTCAAGAAACGAACTCTCTGGCCTACTTGTGGAAGGAAAGGAAAAAGTGGCATCGTCACTTGGTGGATATGCATTATTTGTGTTGTATACGGTATCTTTTGGTGGCCACGCCCTTTCAAACTGGTGACAGCTGCCCTGATGGAGGCAGATATGTCTGTTCCAGCCCCCACCTCCTAACTGTCCCCCATCAGCCCGCCTGGCTGGAGAGGGGAGCTCCAGTTCTCCTGCCCAGCGCTGGCTCTTCCTGTCACAGGGCAGCTGCTGTGGTTGTAGGGGAGGTGGCGTGTCCTTCTCCTGGAGGAGACATGTCTGAGGGGCCCACGGAGTAGTGGAGAGAAGCCCCTGTGTTTGGAGTGGGGTTTCTGGTCCAAATGGCCCTGGGAGGAAAGAAAGGGGAACCCGGGGGAGTAAGCCTGCAGCAGCCACCTCCTTCTTCTGTCCCTGCCTTTCCCTTTCTCCCCTGATTTTCTCCGTCCTGGCGGGGAGGTAGAAAAGGGCCTCGGGCTCTTTCCCTTGAACCTGGGAGAAGGAGGGCTTTCAGAGGAGGCAGGCTACCGGCCAGCGTGTTTTTACGCTGTACGGTTTGGGGAAACCACGCGTTCTTAGCAACCATTGCCATCGGGGCCTATGTGGCTTGCTCGGGTGGGAGTGAAAAGTCAAGGTCACGCTCAGTGTCGATTGGCTGAATCCCATGTGGAAGGCTTTGGAGGACATCCCCGAGTTCAATAAAAATGCAGAACGTCGGAGTCGAACTGGGCCTCACCCGGGGGGGGGGGGGGGGGGGTGCTGGGGTTATGAGGGAACATTCGCACTGACCCTCTCGTCTTTCCCTGAGCCAGACTCCTGGGATGGGGGACTTTTCCTTTTCCTGTGCTGGGAATCTAAAAAAAAAAAAAGAGAGAGAGAGAGAGAGAGAGAGAGAGAAAGAGAGAGAGAGAGAGAGAAAAGGCGGGGGTGGGGGGGAGGATTCTTAAAAGCCATACCTCCCTGACCATGGAGACAGGCCACAGGCATTCATGGGCTTCATGGCTTGAGCGCTTGGGGGCTCAGTCTAATCTGTCTGATGGAGAAATGGCTGGGCAAGGGGATGGGCCGAGAATGCCAGCCCCAACTGCCATCTCCATGCCGTTCCTGCCCCACTCATTAGTGGTAGGGATAAGCCCTGCCCCGTCCGTGTCTGCAGGAAACAGGAGCTCAAACCCTAGTTCGGAGGCCCTTCTTTCTGTAGAAGGCCGTGGTTGTAGCCCTCATCTCTGCATCCAAGGCTGTTGTGTAAAGCGCAGGAAGGTCATTTCCCAAACGCGGCGGCTGCTGGGCTGCAGAGACCTCTCGGAGGGGGCCCTGGGCGCCCTGTGTTCCAGCTGCCTCTTAGGCAGGGGGAGGAGGACACGCGTGCGTACTGAGCAGCTCCTTGGCACCCTTGCGTCCAGGTGCTGCGGATAAAGGAGGGCCTGATGCCCAGGGACCCCCAGCGAGGCTGGTGAGGGTTCAGACTTCAGCTCGCTCGCGGCTAGAGAGGCAGGTGCCGAGCCAGAGCCCGTCCCCGTGACCGGCTGGGCCAGAGGAACGCCTCGGGTCTGATGTGCTGCTTTCTCGCTTCCTCTCTTTGTTTTTTTCCCCCAAACCTGAGCACGGGAAATGGAAACGTCCCTCCAGAAGAGGAGGCACCCAACAACAGCCCCAGTATTTGTGTAAGGAAGGTTTCATGGAGCCCAGGCCCGCCTGCGTGTTTACACATTGTCTGTGGCTGCTGCGTTCACGCCGCAGTGGCAGACTGGAGTAGTTTGCCACCGAGACGGTGCGGTCCACAAAGCCTAAAATATTTACTGCCCGGCCTTTCACAGCAAACGTTAGCCAACCCCCCTCGGAGAGGTCAGCGGGGGCCAGTGTGTCCTTGTATGGGCATTCTTGCCCACCCAGAAACCGGCAGGATGGCCCAGTTAACTGCAGCATGTGGAGGGCTGGCCAGGTTGGAAGGCCACACAGACATCTAGCATCTCTGACCCCGTCCCTCGATGTGGAGCTTCCGGGGGAGCTGGGGGACCCCAGAGGAGCCAAGGGAAGTCCCAGGTCACCTCCTCTAGCCCCCGTGCTCCGCACACACTGGGTGCTGCAGCAGGAATCGAACGACCCAAATGACCCTTCTTCCCTCCCACCCCGGCACCTCGTCTTAGTTTCTGTTCAGTGGAACCCGTTCTTAGAGGTTTAACCCCGGGTGTATCTTGGGTCCGCCTGCAAGGAGGAACGCCAGCCAGGCCAGGACCACAAACTCCTCGCCCCACCTCTTCTCTGAATAACACCTTCAGAGGTGAGACAAGACATCTGCCAGATCTCACTTAAACTGGTGTGTGTGTGTGTGTGTGTCTCCCAGCAGAGGCTCCTCCCGGGAGACAAAGCCTTCTTTATCAGCCCCAGGCCCCGCTGGGGATGGGACGGTATTTACAGCCAGGGTGTTATCCAGATGGCTGCAGTCCCTCTCCAACGAGGTGTACCTGCATTTAGAGGCAGTCATTACCTCTGTCTTGCTTTTATTGCTGTCTTGTTTTGTCTAGACCAAGCCATCGCTGCAAGGAATCTGGCTGGGGGCCGGGAGCACATTCCCTGCCATCGAGCCAGCCAGCAGGCTGAAGGACCAAATCCCCTGCCTCCTCCTGCGGGATCTGAGTGTCCAAGCTTTGCTACTGGTTTTCTGTTCCCCCCTTTGGACTGAAATGGGAGCTCTTTTTGGTGCTTGGAATGAGGAGTGCATTTCTTGGGTGCTTTCCAGAAAGGAAAGCTGACAGTCCCCCACCCCCATCCCCCAACTCCCATGGGTGGAGGTCAAGGTCACATTAAACCCTGGATGCCTCAGGGGTCCTTCAGACCCACAGCCTGACTTGGGAGAGAAATGGAGTGAAGTGTTGGGTGCTCCCTGGGAGCGGGGCACTGGCAGTTCTCCCCGGAGCCACCCGTGCGGAGCGCGCAGACGATGGTGATGATGATAACGTGATGGCGGTGGTGACAGCAATGGCGATGCCGCCTGCCATTTGTTGGTGGCGTTTCTCAACCCTGGCTGCACATTAGGATCTCCCCAGGTGGTTTTTAAAAATACCTTATCAGAACCCCACCCCAAACCAGTTATTTCAGGACGCTAATGGCGAGGCTGGCTCCAGCCTTGGTGTTTTGAAGAAGCTCCCCAGACTGTTCTCATGTGCAGCCGGGGTGAGAACCACACATGTGCTTTTACAGCCTGTGATTACAAGTAGCTACTAATTTAACCCGCAGCACAGGGCAGTGAGTGTGGTGTTGGCATTCCCGCCGAGGCAGGGAAACTGAGTCCTCAGACATGCCAAGGCCTCAAAGCCAGGCCTCCGGACTCCCAAGTGCAGACTCCCTGCCTGTCAACACCCCCCACCCCCACCCCCGTGGCATCCTCCCCCTTGTGCCCCGCAGCCTGAGAAACAGCTGTCGGGGCCCACTGCACACTCTCATGGTTCTGCCTCCTCAAAGCCTCGCCCTGGTTGTCTGATTTTTCCTAAAGATCGTTTCCCCATGGAATCCTTCCTTGTTCACTGCACGCTTCCCTCCCTCACACGGACACGCACACGCACGCCCACACACCTTCTTTGCAGTCAACTCCTGATAAAAAGCCCAGTTGTCTGCTTTCTGAAGCAACACAGAATCCCCTTGCCCTGGGCAGCCCTCCTCACGGGATCCCAGGATCCATTGCACCGGAAGCGCCACACAATCCCCGAATTGATTGCACTGGGTGGCAGGCTTCGTGGAATCCCAGAATCCCTTGTGCTGGGTCCCTCTCTTCATTGAATGCTTTTGGCCCGGGGCTGTCTGGACCATGAGGCAGCTGCCAGGGTCAGGCAGTTAGAAGGGGAAGGAGCCAGGAAGGGTTCTCGGCTCCCTCAGATCCCATGAGGTGCTCTAAGCACCCCTTCATTTATTCAGCAGGAGCTCAGGTGTCATCACCAGCGTCAGAGACAGTGGGGGGGGGGGGGGGCTGCCACTGCTGCTAATATTGCTGATCCTAGTTGGTGGGATTGGGCCTGAGTGGGGGAGGTGCTGTAGTGCCCTTACTAAGGAGGGCATAATGACAGCGGGATTGCATGGGAGGTTGAACAGAGTTTTGCGGGGCCTCCTGGGTGAGAGGATGACCTGATGCTCTGTCTGAGGGCGGGGAGGGGCAGGGGGAGGGGGGGAGTCCAGCACGTGGGCTGTACTTTGAGGGACAGCTCCGGCCTCCTTGCCGGGTGACCTGGCTGCATTGGCAGAGTGGCCTGGGAGGCGTTCACCTCTGGAGCCTGCCATTCTGCCTCTGAAACGGCCATCATGGTAGCTCTTGCCTGGGGGGGAGGGCGGGGGGAGGATGGGGGGTAATCTAGGTAAAACACCACCGTGCCCGTCGCTCAGTGTGTGCTTGGTGCGTGCTGTCATTGCTGTCGTCATCGGTCCCTTCCGATCAGGGGAGAAAGGGTTGCGGGCTCTTTTTATAGAAACAGGAAACTTCTGAGGACGAGGGTTCTTTCTTCTGCAGGGGAGCTCTTCCCCGAAAGCTACGTGTTGGTGGGAGGGGGGTGTCCCTTCCTTTCTCCCTCCTTCTCTCACTTTCTAGTAGCCGCCCCAGGAAAGGTCAGGCCCCCTGCCGAGGAGCACGCCAGGCTGAGCGGTGTCGTCATCTCACGTTTTGAATTGAGCGCTTCCTGCAGCGTGCTCAGAGGGCGCTGTAGCGTGGCCCCGGAGAACATTAAGAGAGAGAGAGAGAGAAAAGTCTGAGCTGGCAGCACTGGCGTCCCCCAGATGCATGGCTGACCATGGGGAGCTAGACCTGCAGACAGGAGAGGCACCGCATGTCCATCCCACGCAAGAGGGGGTGGAGGGCAAGGTGGAGGTCAAGGGCAGTCAGGGGCAGTCTGACCGCACACGCTACGGCTTCCAGTCTCGGGGGCGGGAGGACAGCTTTGCATGGCCCGGGCCTCACCCTGAGGGGATCGCAGCTCCATTCCGGTCCTGCTCGGAAAGCGACGGAAGCAGGCACAATACGCTTCCTGACCCTGGGAACCATGGGCAGGTGACCCGGGGCCTCGGGAGGCTCAGCGGGGAGGCCAGCCCTCCTGCAGATGTGCACAGAGCTGGCCTGGAGGGAGCCAGAGGGGCCTGCTGAGTGTGAGCGGCTAGAGACCACACCTATCCTCGAAGTCATTTGGGATACGATGACGTTGTTCCTGAGGGATGGAGTCCCCGGGGCTGCATTCAGGGAGCCAGTCTGATAGAGGGCCCCAGGAGTAGGTAAGAGTCCCCTGGTTCTCAGATGTGCAGGATAAGCCCACCCGTGTCCTGACCTCGGGCCCCCCCACCCCCCGCCACACCCCGCCCCCAGCCTTGGCCCTGCTTCCTGCTAGCGTTCGCCTCTTGTCTCTGCATGTCCTGTCCTGCTCGGCACTCCCGGGCTCAGTCCTGTTTTTTCTCATTTCAGAAATTCCGGGTAGATATGCCTGGCTCCGGCAGCGCCTTCATCCCCACCATCAACGCCATCACGACCAGCCAGGACCTGCAGTGGATGGTGCAGCCCACGGTGATCACCTCCATGTCCAACCCGTACCCCCGCTCGCACCCCTACAGCCCGCTGCCGGGCCTGGCCTCTGTCCCCGGGCACATGGCCCTCCCGAGGCCCGGCGTCATCAAGACCATCGGCACCACCGTGGGCCGCAGGAGGAGAGACGAGCAGGTACAGCTCATCGATCGGCGTGGAAAAGCCATGCTGGGGGCTCTCGGGGCCTCGTGACACCGTGTGCCGTTTTGCAGCCTGGAGGGGAGCAGGGTCAGGGTACCAGGGTCACTGGGAGGAGAGAGAACGAGGGGCTGGGAGCACGGGATTTCCATCATGGAGACCTGAGGTCAGGGCCGGCTCTGTCACCTCCCGTGTCCCTTAGGAGCCCTGGCTGCAGGATGGGGTCAGGGCACCTGCCAGCCAAGACTTGTTGCCGCTCGAATGCAGCCGGGGAAACACCTTGTCAGTGGTGAGGGGTCGGCAAATGGGAAGGACTGTTGGGCCTTGGCAGAGTGGCCCCAGGACAAGCAGCCAACGCACCCTGGCCAGCTTCTCGGGATTAGCCCTTAACTGTCTTCCGGTGTCTGGTGCAGGCCAGCTGCCCGGCTGACCCTAAGGGTCGCGCCCCAGGCTGGTTCCTCCTACAGAGCTTTCCCTGCCTCCCACCGAGGTGTCCTTGGCCTCCGCTGAAGCAGGATGAGTGCGGGGATGAGTGTTCCCGGGGCAGGACTGGGGTCCTTGGGGCCTGCCCAGCTGCTTCAGCTGACCCAGGCGGGATGGGTGGAGGGCAGGCAGCAGCCCTGTGTTCCTCAAGGGGCTCAGCATGGAGGAACCCGCTGGCTGGGAAGGTCAGAAAACGGTGGGGCCTCTGCTCTCTAGTCAGCGTCCACCCGACACACCCAGAAGGCCCCGTGTGCCCATCACCAGGGAGCCAGGCGACCCAGGCCTCCTAATTCCAGAGGGAGCCCCCAGAATCATGCCTAATTCCAGAACGGAGCACCTCTTCCCCGACGACCCGACCAAAGCTCAGACAGCCCTGCTGGGCCACTCAGCAATGCGGGAGGAGCCTGGACTAGAACCCAGGGCCCGGGGCTCCCTGCGCGGTGATCTGAAGCCTCGCGCCCCCAGGAGTCCGGGGAAGAGGACACGCTATGGCAGGGGAACCCCTTTTTCAAATACAATGTGGACCTGGAGAGCCCTCTGATGGCAGCATCGGGCCCTCCGCTCCCCAGTGCTCCAGGATGAGGATCTGTAACCACGGTGACCCGGGGCCAGGAGTTCCCAGTTCAGATACTGGGTCGCTCTCCAAGGAGCCGGAAGCTTCTGCAGGGGCCCTGCTCCCCTAGGACAGAGCTGGGCCCTGTATCTGCTGTGTGCTGGCTTGTTCTGCTCGCAGCAGGACCCGGGAGTGGGGCCTGGGAGGGGTGTGTAAGAGATGCTGAAGGGACAGAGCTCCCAGTGGCTGTTGGGCTTCTGCTGGGGAGGGTGCGGGGGAGGTAGTGGCCAGGATTCCCCTCGCCGTTGCCTCCATAACTGCAGTAGCAGATAACGCAGTAGCTCCGGTCCTCGTTCTTCCCTAAGTGTGCTTCCTCCAGGAGCCCACGGTGCCGAGCTCTGCAGTCCCCGGGGAGCTGGGTTCTCCCTGTGTGTGACTCCGGAGGGACAGCCAGGCTTGTGAGGGGGACGCTTCGGGGCAAAGCCAGATGCACCGAACTCTATTCACCCTTATCTGGGCTCAGCTCACCCCAGATTTAGAAGTTTATGCCCGGTAGGGATTTTGGAGACCAGCTTTAAAAAACAAAACAAAACAAAAAAAACCCAACACATTCCCTCTTTGCCCATTTTACAGATGAGGAAACCGAGGCCCAGAAAGGAAAAGGGCCTTGGCCCAGGGTCACACAGTTAAGTGAGTGCAGAGCCGGGACTGGCATCCACCTCCCTTGACCTTCAGCCCTGTGGTTTCCCCGCTGCACCATCGAGGCGTGCCCTAAGACAATCTGTCTGGGAAATTTCCTTCCTTTTTTTGAGAGGGAGGGAGAGAGCCAGGAGCATTTTTGTTTCATGTCATTGTCAATTAGGAGTTCAGACAATCATCCGGCAGCTTGGAGGAAGCCCGGGCAAAGCCTGGGCGGCAGCATCCTCAGCCTTGGCTCTCCGTGGCTCCTAGCCCTCGGGTCTTTTCCCTGAAGCTTGCCTCTGCCTTCCTGACCTCCCCCCTCAACACCTCTACCCCCACCCTGGGGGAGGGGCCGCCACAGGAGCCAGCCTGGTGCCTCCCTTCCCTCCTCGGGCCTGCCCAAGGCTCCCTCTGAGCCCAGGGGCGGTGACAGACCGAGGAGACAGGGAGGGGAGGGTGTGTGTGGCTTGTGGGTGGGTACCCGGTAGTGCTGACACACTCAAGCTGCAACCCTGTTGATGTCACCACCCCTGAACGTTTCCTATGCCCACAGCTCCCACAAAGTTGCCCGCCCCAGACCACAGCAGATAGGAAAGAGATGTCTAAGCCGATGGCAAGGCCACAGGTGGTCCCGAAGCAGCCAGGGGGGAAGGGAGGCCCATGTGGACCATCCCGCCTTCCATCCGTGTGGGGGAAGGGCGCGCAGGGCCTGGCGGGGAGCATGAGCCCAGGCCTGCAGCAGGGCCAGGAGGCTGTCCTGGGAAGTGTGGGCTCAGGGGGAGACAAGCTGAGGAGCAGCAAGAATTCGGGGCCTCGGCAGAGTGGCCTCAGGATGTCAGCCAGGCGCTGGCCCCGCACAGGGCAGCGTGTCCGGGTCCCTGGCCTCTGGGTCTCCGGTCCACGCTGACTCTCCTGGGACTCAGGAATCGCATCTTCTTCCTGGTGCTCTCGAGTTAGAGGATCCATACACTGCATCTCATTGGATCCCCACAGACTTGGTGGAAGGTGGGACAGTTCCTGCGGACCCCGTTTTACAGATGGGAAGCCCGAGGCTCAGGAGGTTCAGCGGTTTGTCCCAGGCTACACAGAAAGGCCGTGGCTGGGTTCTGCTCCCCGCCGGCCTGATACCTCCCAGAAGAGAGGATGGGGGGCCCATGGCTCTCGGGGGGGGGGGGGGGCACAGGGTTTCAGAGGCTGGGACGGAGGCCAGGACTTGAGAGAAGTGGAGGTGGGACTCGGCTGTGGGGTCAGGTTTTAGGAAGGGGCCTGAGGACTCCCCGGGATGCTACCTGCTGGACTGCTTGGTGCATCACCCCACCTGGCAGCTGCTGCCGGGGCTGAGGGGCTCGGTGAGGGAGGAGCTGGTGAGAGAGGGGCTGGCCTGGATCTCCACCCGGGAGGTGGGAGCGGCAGAGGAGCTGAAGGAGTGTGGTCTGCTGTTCTGGGAGGGAAGGGATCCCAGGGCAGACACAGATGGGTGGGTGCTCGGCCCCCGCAGAGCCCGGGAGGCAGGGACCTGACGGCTGGGAGGCCCTGGCAATCTCCCCGGCCCCCACCTCCCTCTGGGCCCTGTGTCTGGCCTGCTGGGAAGGACTTGAAAGCTGAGAAGGTGTGAAGAGCTTGTCTGTGTCTGGGCAGTAATTGGCACGTTTTCATGCCAGAGTTTGGAGAATTTGGATACAGGGCTCGGGCAGCCAGCGTGGGGCCACAGGGTCACCTCAGTGTCCACAGGGATGGGTGTGTCTCCTCTGAGGCTGTGCCCTGCTTTGCTGTTCCAGAACCCTCTGAACAACACAACACAGCACAGCAACGAGCTGGGGGTTCAGGGAGTGTCCCAGGGGCCTACCCTCCTCCCAGGGTAGCCCGGAGCACCCCTCCGGGAGGGCAGCGTCTCTCCTCCGGCCCCCCAAGAGTATGTTTGGCTTTCTCACCCAAGGGCCCCGAGAGAGTGAGACCCAGGCCTGAGCCCCTCAAAGTCCCCTAAGCCCCCAGGGCTGCGCTTGAGTGTGCCGTCCGTCGGTGTGGGACAACCACACGCGATGGTCTTTCCTTTGGAATTGCTGCCTGCTTGGCCCGCAGCCACGTCCGTGTCACCTCCGCCTGCAGGGCATTGGGACCGAGCCCGGGATGGGCGCTGTGTCAGCACTGCTGAGTGGAGCAGAGGGCTTGCCCTGTGGCATGAGTCACGGCCCCTCGCCAGCCTCGTTGTAAGGAGCCGGGCTGAGCTCTGCGGGGAGGCTCGCTCACTCCGGCCTCTGGTAAACCTCAAACCCCTCAGACCGTGCCTGCCATGCAGAAGGTGCTTGCTCGCTGAGTGAGCGGATGTGGTGGGCAGGGGGAGCAGAGGTGCCCATCCTGTCCCGCCTCTCGGCCTGTGCCAGGCCAGGCCGGGTCCTCGGGTTGAACCGAGAGCAGCTGGCAGAGGAAGTGGGGAGTGGGGTGGCATCCTCCCTCCCCCCCCCCCCCTGCAACCTGCAGGGTGGCTCTTACTGGGGCCCAGCCACTTAGCCAAATGGGGATAATGATGCTTGCAGAGCAGGCGGCGGTGGGGAGGGGTAATTAGCCCGGGTTTGGAAGAAGCTGCTTTAGTGGGTGGGGCCGGGCCTTGGCTGGCATGAGGGGACTCCCTGGGGGAAGCAGCCGGCTCCCTCCTCTCACTGGCCTTGGCACAGGACCAGGGCTGACATGACAGATGCTGTTGCCGTCATGCCTGGGCCACGTCCCTGACCCATGGCTGCCCTGTTCCCTTGGGCACGTGGGCCCTCACCTATAGGTGGGTGCAGCCCTGAGTGACCTCTGAGCCTGGCCGAGCTCCTCCGGCCTTCCTGCCTCCCTCCCCAGTCCCAGAGGGGCTTCCTGCCCTGCTTCAGATGCAGCTAAAGGCAAAACCAGTGTGCCCAGTGGATAGAGCGTCGGCCTGTGGACTGAAAGGTCCCAGGTTCGATTCCGGTCAAGGGCATGTACCTTGGTTGTGGGCACATCCCTGGGGGGGGGGGGTGTGTGCAGGAGGCAGCTGATCGATGTTTCTAGCTCTCTATCCCTCTCCCTTCCTCTCTGTAAAAAATCAATAAAATATATTTTAAAAAAAGAAAAGAAAAAGAAAAAAAAAGATGCAGCTAAAAAGAAACAAAAAAAACCCAAAAGCTGGGGACCGTCCCCGAACCTAACCAGGACCTCTGCCTTGCCTCTAGCTGTCCCCTGAAGAGGAGGAGAAGCGTCGAATCCGGAGGGAAAGGAACAAGCTGGCCGCTGCCAAGTGCCGGAACCGCCGTCGGGAGCTGACGGAGAAGCTGCAGGCGGTGAGGAATCTGCGTGGGGAGGGGGTACCTCTGGCTGGGCTGCACGGGGTCCCAGGCTCCTGGCCTCCCACCTTCTCCTGCCCACTAGTGGCCTGCAGATGGGTTCGTGGCGATGCACAGTCCTTCCTTTGTGCCTGTCGGTGGCTCTGGCCTGGCCAGAGGGAGCGGGACGGAGGGAACTGGCCTCTGGCACCAGCCTGGGCCCGGGAGAGAAAAGCTGGCCCCTGAGTGGGCCCCGGGCCCTTCCTCACTCAGTCCGAGAGTCCCCTGCCCTCAGACCTGCCGGGGCTCCCGGGTGAGGGATGGCAGACCGTGTGAGCACTGCCAGGCCCCAGGAGCCAAGGCAAGCCTAGACCTGCCCCTGCCACGGCTGCCTCCCAAGCTCCCAACCTCCCCCATGCCGCCTGCCAGCAGGAGGGGCCCAGCGCGCACAAGTGGCTGGTTTGGGGCCGGGGACACCTGCTGTCGGGTCTTGATGCCCTCGGGAGTCCCTCTTCCCTGCCACCTCGTTGCCCACACCTGGGAGTCTGTGGCGCTGCCCCAAAGTTTGACCTGATTGATGTCACACAACTCACTAAGAGCCTGCTCCACCGGATGGGCCGTCCGCCACGTGGGGGAAGCCCCCGGCTGGGACAGGCTCTTCCGGGGGAAGCGTTTCTCAGGGAGGAGATGCGGGAGACCCTGTCAGTGGTCCTTACAGAGCCCCGCCAGGATGGGGCTTTGGAAATCACCCGTGACCTGTGTGCATCCCATCACCTTACGTAATCCTCCCGGGTACCATTGGGAAACGGCTACGCCTCTCTGAGCCTGTCCCCTCGCCTGCAGACTGGGTTGAGGATCATATCTGCTGCAGAAAACTGCTAGAGGCTGGGGTGAGGAAAGGCCTCTGAAACGCTCCCCTCGTGCCTGGCACCTGCTCCAGCTCCTCTTGCCCACCCTGGGGCCCTCGCGCCTGGGGATCGCAGGTGCCCCGCGTGGGTTCTGTGATGCCTGTACTAACGCCCCCTGGAGGTGTTCCTTAAAGTCGGGCGGGTGAGGGGGGGTTTTCTGTCGCCACGTGAGGCGGGTCCACGCGGGGTCAGCACTCCTTGCGGGGACCTCCCCTCCCGGGAGAGCCCTCCTCTCTGCCAGCCACCCAAGGGGGCAGGCCCTCTGGGTCTACACCGGGCGCTCCTTACCACACACCCCGCTCCCCCGCCTCCCCACCCCCAGCCCAGCCACCCAGGAGCCACATCCTCCACAGGAAACCTCTCAGAGGCTCGTGACGTGTGTCAGACCCTTGAGACAGATGGAAACTTTTTTCGCTCCGGAACAGGCTGTGTGTGCTCCGTTCGGTGACGCTCCAGCCCCGTTTGCCTCGTGCTCGAACGGGAACCCACGTGCCGGGAAAAGTGGGAGGAGGCCGGTGACACACACCTTCTCGGCTGCCATGACTACCCCTCCGTGTGTGCATGCGCGTGTGCGTGTGCTGCTGCTTTGGCTTTGTGTGGACGGAGGGGCTGAGGTCCCTGCAGGTGGACCCCGCCATCCTCAGGTGCCTGCCCGGCTGCCAGGCTCCTCACCCGCCAAGCAGGGGGGCTGACCTGAGTGCCCGGCAGGTTCCCTAAGTCCCGAAACACACGCTTCTGAAGTCAGAGCGAAAAGGGGAAGAGGGGCTGTGAGGACCCAGCCAGGAGCCAGGCCGTGCCCTGGGCTCCAGTGCTGTCCTCCTGCCTGGAGTTCGGTGTGTCCACTGCAGGCTCTGGGCTCTGGAGGCAGATGCATTGGGGTCAAGTCCAGGCTCCCTACCTGTTGGCTCTGTGACTTTGGGCAAACGGCTACACCTCTCTGAACCTGTCCCCTCTCTGTGCCTGGCACCACGCAAGCGCTCGGTCGCTCAGCCATGGCCATGCCCGGTGACCTTTCACCTTTCCTTCGGGCTGTCTGCCTCCTTCCTCAGGCTGGCGCTTTGGAAATAAAGGGAACCTTGAGCCTCCAGGTGACTCAGCAGCAGCAGCAGCGGGGTCTGCAGCCTGGGGAGCACTGGCTGCTCCCACTATCAGTCCTCTGAGGACATGACTGGGTTTCCTTTCGTGCCCGGATTTGTTTTTTAAGTATATTTTATTGATTTTTTTTTACAGAGAGGAAGAGAGAGAAATAGAGAGAAACATCGATGAGAGAGAATCATCGATCCGCTGCCTCCTGCACACCCCCTCCTGGGGATGTGCCCACAACCAAGGTACATGCCCTTGACCGGAATCGAACCTGGGACCTTTCAGTCCACAGGCCGACGCTCTATCCACTGAGCCACACCGGTTTCGGCTCACGCCTGGATTTGCACGGCCTGCTCCGAAGCCGGTCCCCGGCAGGTTGGAGCAGCCCCTGACGGCCCTCTCTCTCCCCCGCAGGAGACGGAGGAGCTGGAGGAGGAGAAGTCGGGCCTGCAGAAGGAGATCGCCGAGCTGCAGAAGGAGAAGGAGAAGCTGGAGTTCATGCTGGTGGCCCACGGGCCCGTGTGCAAGATCAGCCCCGAGGAGCGCCGGTCGCCCCCGGCCTCCGGGCTGCAGCCGCTGCGCGGGGGCGGCGGGGGCGCCGTGGTGGTGAAGCAGGAGCCCCTGGAAGAGGACAGCCCCTCGTCCTCCGCGGCAGCGGGGCTGGACAAGGGCCAGCGCTCCGTCATCAAGCCCATCAGCATCGCCGGGGGCTTCTACGGGGAGGAGCCCCTGCACACCCCCATCGTGGTGACCTCCACGCCCGCCATCACTCCGGGCACCTCGAACCTCGTCTTCACCTACCCCAGCGTGCTGGAGCAGGAGTCGCCCGCCTCGCCCTCCGAGTCCTGCTCCAAGGCACACCGCAGGAGCAGCAGCAGTGGGGACCAGTCCTCGGACTCCTTGAACTCCCCCACCCTGCTGGCCCTGTAACCGGCGGCCCGGGGGTCCTCGTCACCGCCTCCTCCCCAGGGATCAGCTCCTTCCAGCGCCCGGGGCTGCGAGGGCACAGGGGGCCCGGCCAGCGAGCTTCCTGGCTCCGGGACCGAGGAGGCACGGGCATGAGGCGCCAGAGGCCCAGCCTGGGTGACCCCTGAGAAGTCCCGAAACTCCTCCTTTATCCACCCGGCAACGCAAATCCCGTTTCTTGAAGCGCCTGGGAGAACTGAGCGGGCTCGGGCGTCTCTCTGAAGCTGGTGTGGACCATTCCTGTCTCTGGAGCGACGGTGCCCTCCCCTGCCCGCGAGCATGCCCGCGGCCTTCCGGTGTCACCTTCCCTCGATGCGCCACTTCTGCCCTCCCCCCATCCATCCTCCCTCCCGCCAGTGTCAATTTCCACTTCCTCTCGGTTCTTATCAGACTGGCCATGACATTTCATCTGGGTGGTCTAACTATTAAAACTTCATTTCTGGAGACGTGGCAGCAGGTGGCTCTTCGGCCGGGACGGCCTTGTCCAGAGGGGACCATGTGCAATACGGAACCTTCCTCCCCCGACACCCCAGACACCACCGTCCCCCGAGGCCCCACCGTGGTCCGCGGGCCCCGGAGGGGATGCACCAGCCCGGGAAGGTTTAGGACCTTCCCCCCACCATCGGAGACGGCTCCCTCGGCTCTCCGCGCAGCGGCTTGGCCAGAAGACAGGGTGTGAGGGAGGCAGCCAGGGCACAGGTTGTGTTTGCCAAATGCCTCATGAACAGGCCAGGAATCGTGCCAGCGAGCCGCACGCTGTTCTCGCCAGCGTCCTCCTCCACCTGGTGTCTGGAGCAGGTCGTCTCCTGTAATTACCGCCTCGCGTCTCTGCCCCTGGACCCTTCTTCTCTGCTGACCGGGGAGGTGTCCCTCCCTCGGAGCCGCACGTCACTCACTCCTTGTCCCAGCCGCTCTGCCCTCCCCGCCCTGGCTCTCGGGGTGACGCCACCCACAGAGATTTAATGAGCTTGGGCCTGGACCCTCCCCAGGTGGCTGCAGGGGGCCCCTCCCCACGCTTCAAAGGCACCTGCGCTGTGGATGGAAGGCCGGGGAGGGAGGCGGTGGCCGCGGAGTGGGGTTTGCCTGACACCCGCCCCGGAACCCCACTTGCCCTGTCCTGGCTGCTCATCTCTCTGAAGTGCCCGTGGCCATTGGATGGGTCAAGTGCTTTCTCTTTAGACTCCCCACCCCCCTCATCCCAGTGTGCTGCTCGGGTCCGACGGCCGGCCCAGAGCGGTCGGGTTGCTACGGCTTACGGCTTGTGCACCATTCCCGGGGGCCGCTGAGAAGCGAGATGAGATGAGATGCTTTCACTGCCAGACAGCTGCCCCCCTTCCCACCGCGGAGGAGTGGGGAGCTCCTTCTGGCCCTGAATCAGAGCAAAGCTCCGCGTGGCCCCTGCCTCCCACCCTCCCCGCCGCCTTCTCACTGCCTCTTTGGCCGTCCTGACCCAGCTCTGGAGATAATTGTATGATGATTTAAACGATGTCGCTGTTATTTAAATCAAACCCAGTGGGGAGGGGGTCGAAGGAGGGAGAGGGCAGTGGCCCTCGGAGCACACCTGCTCCTTCTCACACCTGGGCCTCTGTGCGGGTCCGTTTCGTGTCCGTCTCCCACTGGACACGAGAGTGGGATGGCGTGTGCTTCGAATACGCAGCCCGCCAGGCCTGGAGGCCACGTGTGGAAGGAGAAAAGGGGTGTTTTCTGGGCACACTTTGCAAACGCCGTTTCGTTTCCCACGTCCCTGGGCTGTGACGCTGCCCTCCAGGTCCGGAGGCTCTGGGACGGGTGTGCCTAATTAGAAGGGGCAGGAGGCTTTCCGGCTTCAGGCTAATCAGAGAAGAAGCCGGCCAGGGGAAGCCCAGCTCAGAGGAGCTTCATCATCTCAGCTGGTGTTCGTGGCCAGTGGGAGCTGTTATCCTCTCTCTCTCTCTCTCTCTCTCTCTCTCAAGCTGCTTTCTGGTACTTCATTTCTCAGAGCCCTTTATGCCCCAGTTTGCACAGCTCTAACCCCAAGGCAGGCCGCAGTCTGTGACTTGGGGCCGGGCTGGACATTCTTGAGATGGAGTTTGGCTTCCGTGCAGGTTTCCAGCTGCGTTGGCTTAGGGACCAGCAGCAGGCAAAGCCCCAGGCCCTCCGGAGCCTCGGGCTGCATCCCATCCCGGGCCCTCGCTGTGTTCCAGGAGGCGGCTGGGAGGTCTGGGGGGAAGGCGGCTGTGGGGAGCCCATCCTCAGGTGCTTCCTCTGGCTTGTTCTCCAAGTTCATGTACACACACACCCCCGTGCTCCAGAATCACCAGACGGCAGGCCCGCTACGGGAACAGCTGCTGTGCGGGCTTTGCACCGGGGCCGGGACCGCTGTGCTGCCCCCGAGTCCCCAGCAGGGAGGCAGCTGGCGGGGCTCCCGCTGGGCTGCTGGCAGCCCTGGGACCGCTCAGGGCAGGCATCCGACAAGCGAGCGTGAGCACGGCCTTGGCCACCTGGCCGGCCTTGCTGGGAACTGTGCTCCTGGCCGGGGGACCGGGACAGCTGCTGACACAGGAAGGAGAGGAGGTCCCAGGTGAAGCTTAGGAAATCGCCGGAGCCAGCTCTACGCAGAGCATTAACTCACGGGGGAGGTTTCCAGAAAGACGCCATTGTTCTGCCTACGTGCAAGGCCAGGGTGTCCGCTGGCCGGTCAGACCAGTGTCTCCAAGCCAAGAGCTATTAGAGGCTGCTGCTGCTGCCTGCCTCGGGCTCTGGGGAAAGGAGTGTCCTCTGCTCCCACGTGGCTCTGAGTGTGAGGGTGGGCATGGACCAACCGTGCCCCTGGCAGCCTCCCCTTCCCCCCATTTAACCTTCAGGTTGATTTCCTTCCTGACCAGACATCTGTGAGGTCCCTTTAAGAAGGAAAAGAATAGCACCTGCTCTGTGCCAGGCACTGTGTTAGGCACTTTTAAGTAATACCCTCTTTCAGACGAGACGAAGGAATGAGGACATGCCTTCGTAAAGGTCCCCAAGAAACGGCTAAACAAAAAGCTGGAGACGAGGAGGTCTTCCTTCCAAAAGCCAAGGCGAGATTGTCTTCGGCCTGAGGCTTACTCCCGAAGACCCGTTCCCAGCCCGATCCTCCCGCCTCTAAGTCTCCTCTTCTCTCTCTCTCTCTCTCTCTCTCTCTCTCTCTCTCTCTCTCTCTCTCTCTCTCTCTCGTGATGTGCCCCTTCTCACTCCTCAGACGGTCGGAGGGGTAACCTGAGTCCTTATAGATTTTGTGGACCAATAGGGTATGTATAACTTGCTTTAAAAAAAAAAAATGTAAGTAAATGGGTCTTGCTACTTTTCTGCTTGTGGAGTCTTTTTGGCATTTACCTTCAAAGCCAGCATCTCACTATTTATTAACAGGTTGGGGTATGAGCGTGCGAGTGTGTGTATGTGCACATGTGTATGTGTATGTGAGTGTGTGTATGTGTGTGTGCGTGTGTGTGGGTACATTTCCAGGTGTGCCCGTGTCCTCCTGCAGCTTTCCAAAGGAAACCCAGTCAGCCCACCACTCATTGGACATTCTCCTCCTGCTTCTAGCGCTGTGGCCGGACATCAGCAAAGGGTTTTAAATTTTCCAGGGCTCACGTGTCCAGGAGGAGCGGGGTTACGTTTTTGAGGAGGGTGTGGGAAAGGGAGGGGGAGAAGAAACGGACGTTTATTTTATTATTTATTTTAAATGTTTACATCTTTTGTGCTGTACCACGCCTGAATAGAAACAGATAGCATTAAAGTACTCGGTTCCTCTCTCCCTCTCTTTCTTCCTTATTTTTTTTTTTTTAATTAGGCTAATGATGCTTTTTGTTTATGTGTTTCTGAAATGATTTGTGACTTGCGCTATATAAACTGTATAAAAAGGTTCTGTTTTTTTTAAAAGATGAATTGTCACTCCTCTGGGGTCAGCGGTCCCCCCACCCACCCACCCACCCACCCACCCAATAAGTCTACATCGGGAGAGAACACAACAAAAAATCCTGCCCCGTCCCCTAAAAGCTATTGTCTCCGTACAATTAAACGTCTATTCCAGTTATTTCAGTTTGTGGTTACTTGCTGTCGAGGGAGAAAACCTTCACTTTTGTACACAGAGTAGGTGTCGGGAGTGGGAGATGTACATATATATATATATATTCCGGTGTACAGTGGGAAGTGGGGAGTGTGGTGTGTCCCTATTTGAGATGTTGATGACGTGCTGCTCTCCGGTCCCAGAGGGAACCACCTGTGCAGATTCTCATAGCCCCGTGGGAACCTAAGCACCGTCCGGCATCCCTTTTCCTCGGGGAGATGGTCCCAGAGGGGCGGCTCCCCCTGGGCCGCTCCGGGCAGGACCGTGAGTGCCACGGTCTTTGTACAGTTCTGAACACAGAGGCGTGTCTCTGCTCCGAAGCATCCCTGGCGGTGTTCTTGTCCTCGTTTCGTTCCTTTACTGTAAGACAAGCCTCCAGTATTTGCACTAAAGAAGCTTGTTAGAAAAAGCTTGCTGCTGTGGAAGAAAGAACATATTGAGACTTTTTTCCCCTTTGCTTTTTTTTGTTTGTTTGTTTGTTTTTTGTTTTGTTTTTTTGTTTGTTTTGTTTTTTTTGGTTAGCTTTTCCACTTTCGATTGAGTAGCATTTTGTAGAATAAAATGAATTAAGATCCAAGAGCCTCGTATGGTCGGTTTATTCCACCTCTTCTCCCCTCTCCCTCCCAGGCTGCCCAGCGTGGGCTTTGTGGGGAGCCTTGGTGTCTCTGGTGGTGAGGGAAGCAGGGAATGAATGGTCTGCCCGGAACCTCTCTCTGCAGCACCAGGAGGTGGGCTGCTGGGCGGGGCCTGCAGAGCCTCCCCTCCCGCCTTGGCCTTGGGCTGCTTTCTCCTCTGGACCCTCCCAGGCCTGTTTCCGGCTTCTCCGGCCTGATTCTCAGCTCCCTGCCAACTACCACGGAGGTGTGAGCCAGTAACAGTTGGAGGTGCTGTCCCTTCCTGGGGGTGTTTCACTTGAAACCCAAGAATCTTCACAGAAGCAATGGAAGGTATCGCTCAGAGGGGCCAGGGGGTCAAATAGGAACCTGCACGGGAAAGGGCCCTGCCAACAAGCAGGTCTCCCTTTCAGCACCAGGAGACACACGGGGTTCGGTGCGGCACCCCAGAAGCGTCAGCCAGCCCCCCGTGTCCTGTCCACCGACCGGGAGACCCGGGCAGCTGGGGAATGCTGCCCCGTGCCCTTTCCTGGGGGCGTGAATGGTGGGGAGGCACACCGGTCCTTAGTTGATGCTCGCAGTGTCGGCAGCTGCTGAGAATTAGCCCAAATCTGCCGGGCCAAGCTGGGCGTGCAGGCCTCAGCCTCTGGGGCAGTGGTCGGCAAACTCATTCGCCCACAGAGCCAAATAGCAACAGTACCACGATTGCAATTTCTTTGGAGAGCCACATTTTTTAAACTTAAACTTCTTCTAACGCCACGTCTTCAACATAGACTCGCCCAGGCCGTGGTATTTTGTGGAAGAGCCACACTCTCGAGAGGCCAAAGAGCCGCGCGTGGCTCACGAGCCGCAGTTTGCCGACCACGGGTCTGGGCTATCTTGGTCCCAACCCGCTCAGGGACCTGGGCTGGTTGCAAACGCCATTGATTACATTTCCCGCAAAGTTGGGCTTTGGGGATGAGCAGGGCCCACGCCCTCGGGAACGGGGTCTTGGCGAGGGGTCCAGGGACCCTCCCTTTCTGCTGGGCCTGGGCCGCCCCGAGGAAGCACAACTCTGTGGCCAGGCTGTCCTTGCCCGCGGGACAGCCTCCACGTCAGGGAAAGGGGAATTCCTCCAGGAGCCGCTGCCTTCCAAGACGCCCAGCCCCGTCTGTCTCTCGGGTGGCTGGGTGAGACGATGTCTGTGAAGGCCTGGGTGAGATGCTAAAAAAAACAGGGAGGAAGCTTACGTGGTTAAAGGCCTCAGCCCTCGGTTATAAAGCAGACGGATGCCACTTGATTATGGGACAGCTGCTGCGGCTGCGGGGCCACGTTTGGAATGGCAGGGTGTGATTTCCCTCCGGGCCTCTGTGTTTAAAGATGGACAGGCTCCGTGGACGTGGGCGGCCCAGCCCCCGCCGGCCCCGGAGAGCAGGAGGGCTGGTGGCCCCCCGCTCCGGGCCAGCCGTGCATCCCCCCCATCTGGACGCCACTGGTCCTCCCGCCCTGGCTCCCGTGACAGAGTCGGCTCCTCCCCCGACGAGGCAACAAAGGGCCGCCGTCTGGGGAGCCAGCCGGGAGCTGCCAGGACAAGTCCACTCGCCTTCCTGCCGTGCAGCCGGCCCGGCCTCGGCCTCTGCAGGGCGTGCCCGCCGTGGGGAGGAACTCTGCCCACGACTCTGCCGCGGGCGGGTCCTCCTGCTTCCTCTCCGCTGGGCCCTGGTGGACAGACAGACGCCCCAGGAAGCCATGGGGCTCCGTCCACCATCTGCGAGGTGTCTCTGGAAAGTTCCACTTGTTTGGTGGAAAAATAATAAAGCCCTGCCGCAGGCTCCACCTCGGGGACTAGGAAGTCCTCAGGGGAACGAAGCCCCTTCCCCAGGGCCCGTGTAGCTGAGGAGAAGCAAGCCCAGAGCGTTCTCGGCCCGTTTCCGTGGGGCTCAGCTGAGTGTCTCTGAGGCCACGGAGAACATGAGCCTGCTTATGCAGGGGGGACCCATTTCTGCCTGAGGGCAAAGTTTAGGGTGCCTAAACTTCTGGAACCTAGCTCTGTCTTATCCCACAGGCCAGTGGTCGGCAAACTTATTAGTCAACAGAGCCAAATATCAACAGGACAACGATTGAAATTTATTTTGAGAGCCGAAAACCGACTTCTGCACGTGGGTCACAAAGTTTCAATTGCACGAGGTATTTTGTGGAAGAGCCACACTCAATGAGCCAAAGAGCCGCGTGTGACTGGAGAGCCACAGTTTGCCGACCACTGCCATAGGGCCTGTCAAAAGGCTTCTGTGTTATTCAGGGGGATGGAACCTTTTTTATTGAGGTGAAGCTCATGTAACATAAAAAGCAACCATTTAAAGTGAAAAATGTAGTGACATCGAGTGCTATGGCCACCATGTTGTACTACCACCACCTCGATCTGGTTCTCACACATTTTCCTCAGCCCAAAAGGAAACGCTGACCTGCTGAGCAGTCCCTCCCCATCCCCTCCTCGCCCTCCCCACTCCTCTTTCTGTCCGTGTGCGTGCATACTTAGGCAGCTTTTGAGAATCCCAGTGACTCGACTGGCTGCCCTAAATACCATCATGAAACATGAGCAGGGAAAATAAACCAATGAATAGCAATATAGTTTGCTCCTTGCTTTCGCACTTTACGGATTTCCTAGGCCTTCCCATTCGTGGTCTTGCTCAGAAGCCCAAGAGACGAGCGTTGCTGAACGTGTTGGCAATTATCAGCTCCGGGAGAAATTCCTTTTCCCTTACGCACTGGCGTATCTGGTCCACTGGCAGC